CACTGCACTCCAGTCTGGGCGACAGAGGGAGACTCCAACTCAAAAAAAAAAAAAAAAGGATAAAGTCTGATTCTTAGGAAGCCTGGCTGAGTTCAGTTCTGGCCTTTGCCTAGCAACATGGATTTGAGGGGCAATGCTGTTTCAGATACATGGACCCTGGCTGCGATTGGTAACTAATTCCTGGACCATTATTTGCACCTTGTCTGTGTAGTGTCCAAAGCCCCCACGGAAGCAAACAGCGATGCTCTGGCTTTGCTGACGATGATCAGTTTCATACCATGTCACACACGACCCCACAGCAACTCCGCCCATCAGCGTGGGATGCCTGCTTGCGGACCATCACCGCCTGGTGTTCCTGCACCAAAATAATGATCTTGGGTCTCATTTTACCTTAGTCTTTATTTATTTATTACTTATTTATCTATTGAGTTTGTGTCTCATTCTGTCGCTCACTATGTTGCCCAGGCTGGTTTCCAACTCCTGGGCTTAAATGATTCTCCTACCTCAGCCTCCCAAAGTGCTGGGATTACAGCACTGGAGGGCAGTGGCACGCTCCCGGCCACCACAGCCGCGCCCTGTTGGGCTCCAGTGACTTCCGCCTCAGCCTTCCAAGTAGCTGGAACTACAGGCGCACACTACCACACCCAGCTAATTTTTTATTTATTGTAGAGATGAAGTCTCACCAAGTTGCCCGGGTGGGTCTCCAACCCGTGGGCTCAGGCAATCCACTCGCCTTGACCTCCCAAAGTGCTGGGATTACAGGCTGAGCCACTTATTTATTTTTTTCTTTTTTGAATTGGAGCCTCACTCTGTTACCCAGGCTGGAATGCAGTGGCACGGCTCACCGCAGCCTCAACCTCCTGAGCTCAGCGATCCTTCTGGCTCAGCCTCCCGAGGAGCTGGGTCTACAGGCTCACATCACCATGCCTGGCTAATTTTTAAATTTTTTTGTAGAGACGAGGTCTCACTATGTTGCCCAGGCTGGTTTCAAACTCCTAGGCTCAAGCGATCCTCCCACCTCAGCCTCCCAAAGTGCTGGGATTACAGGTATGAGCCACCACACCCTACCTACTTTATTTTTTGAAACAACATCCAAAGATGGATAAATTCTCCCACTGCGAAAATTAGTTGAGAGAACCAGGGACCAAAAGCCACAGAAAGGTTACATTCCCCTCCCTGCTCACAGTCTTCTCCCCTTCCTCAGGCACTGGGCTCCTGCCTTTCTGCCTTTTTCCGGCCATGAGTAGGAAGCCCCTGGCCCCCTGGCCCCCTGCAGCCTGGGATTTTCAGGAGGGAAACCCAGCCGCGGAGGCCAGAGTCACAGCTGAGAGGCTCACCCATGCCAGATCCACAGAGAGCACAAATGCTCTCGGAAAGTTGGTGGTCATGGTGGGTGAGGGTGTGCATGGGGCTGCAGCCTCTTCCAAGAAGTTGGTCAGTGAAACAATTCTGGGGAGCAAAGAGTAAAAAAAGGTCCACTTACTGATACAAGAAATCAGATCATTAAATCTTTCCTTAGGAAAGAGGGGGTTTTCCAGCCCACGGAAATAGAGCTTCAGAACGCCAGCAACTGAGTTAATATCATGGTTACTCTGGTCATCGGCCAAAGGATTTTCACCTAAAAAAAAAAACAAGAAAAAAATTGATATATGTACAGTGCTTTTTTTCTCCCTCTCTGGTCAAAAATATGTTTCTACACACACACACACACACTGCTATATATACTTGCATCTTTTAATTACACTTTGTAAAAGATTATATGGTACTAAAATTAAAATAATTGGTTTAGACATGCCACCCCATGATTTACCTAAAAATAGCTGGCTAAAATAAAGCTTTTAAAAAAATCTAACACTGCCAAATAACCCCTTACAAGTGACCCAAACCTTAAAATAAAATATTGTGGGACTTTTAATTTTGTCCAACTTTTTTTTTAGAAAGCTGAAATCTGTAATCTTAGTTTGAGATGAACTCAAATACTACATCCTGTGTTTCTTATCCTACAGAGAAAATGACTCGCTGCAGTTCTGTCTGGCTAGGCCATGTGGGTCAGCAGAATTGATCAGAAGTATGACAGGCCCCATCTAATTGTAAAACACCTACAATTAAATAAGAGCGTGCTTGCCAAGGTGGCTTGGGGTGTTCATAGCACACTGGAAGCTGTCTTGGACCATGGGAGATTCTGACATTAGACAGAGGAGCTTGGAAACATGCCCTTCATATTACCAAGGAGTTTGTATAAAAAGTGAACACTTTAAAAACACATCACAAATATCAAGTTCTATTGTTCTTTATGGTAAGCAGTCTGCCTAGTCCACCTCCCTGAGAATTACATGGAGATAAGATCCTTCAGAAATTCAACAGAACCTGCAGCCTTAAGTCAAACTCCATTTTTTGGTTCACGGGTCTACTTTTCCCTTTGAAAAGGGAAATGTTCTCAGGTAGTGTGCCCTGCATTCTAACAGATGTTTTGTCTCTTGGAGCAATTTATTTTCAGGGACCCGTTCTTTCTTTTTCACTGCTCTCAGGCAGAAAATCACTGAATATGAATTTTCCAGAGTATTATTATTATTATTGTTTGCCCACTGTGAGAAAGCCTCACTTGAACAGATCACAAACAAATAATCAACACCAGGGGAATTTCCAAGGAAAAACAGCGGTGCATGTTGTCTCTGGTGGTTGGGTCAGGAGCGAGACTGTCCCGCATTTCAGCTTGTCATCCGGAATGCGGTCACCATGAGTGACCTGGCGCCCAGGTTGCTGTTGGGGGGCTGTTCCGCATCATGGCGGTCAGAGAGAGAGCTTAGACCAGGAAAAACCAACACGGCCCCGTCTGCCTCTTCAGTCAAGGCTTCCAACGTTCCAGGGCTCTGTGCCACGGCTCAGCTGGGGGAATAAGACAGAGGGCCAGGAGGGCAGAGGCTCTGTCTCCACGGGATGCCCACCCTGTGTCCTCCCCATGACCTCCGAGTCGAGGAAAGCACCACACTCGGACAGCAGTGAGAGCCAGGAGCGCTTGGCAAAGAGTAAGGCATTCTCGAGGGGTCCGCGGAGTCCTCACAACATTCCTGCTGTTTTGCAGAGGAGGAAACTGAGGCCAGATAAGACCCGAGTCACTGGGTGCAGATCACATGATTTGTAAACGAGGGTCTGGTTTGCTTTGCGGTCTGCCAGATGCTGAAACGCGCGCTTTTTGCTCATTGTAACATGCTGATGAACAGTGTCACAGAACTTGGTGACAACCAGTTACGAAGAGCCGGGCACCAATAGGGGTCACGGGGCAGGAGTCTGGGGCTGGGAATGAGACGAAGAGCTTCCAACCAACGGGCCAGCTGGGTCACCAGGCGGGGCTGTCTCCCTGGCCTGGGTCTAGCCCAGGGCCACCCCGGCCACACTCCTGGAAGTCTTTCGGGTCCCACATCTGACATGTGCGGCTGGGGGTCAATGAGAGACCTTGCCCAGGAAGCAAAGCGCCTGTGATTTCCCACCTTTCCTAACACAGATTCGTGACTCTGGCCTCATTTCTCAGCTATTCTGAACAGACTCTGACCTCAGCTGCCGCCATGAAGTGATGCAAAGAGAAAGGATTTGGGGAGACATGGGGTGAGGCTGCCACTCCCGCCCAGAGCTGCTAAAGACATGCCATTACCTCTCTCAAATGAATTTTTTATATCATTGACTTCCACCTGGGAACCCGACACTCTGAAAATCCCCTGATGCTGAAGACCTAAAGAAAACAGACAGGAGGGGGGTGAGCAACCTCAGTGTGGATTCCAGACACCCTTCCCCAGGAAGTAAGAGTTAAGCAGAAAGGTACAGGGCCGGGCGTCATGGTTCACGCCTGGAATCCCAGCACTTTGGGAGGCTGAGGCAGGAGAACTGCTTGAACCCAGGAATTTAAGACTAGCCTGGGCAACAGAGCAAGGCTTCAGTTTTACAAAAAAATCTTAAAAATTAGCCTGGTATGGTGGCATGCGCCTGTAGTCCCAGCTACACGGGAGGCTGGGGTAGAAGGATGGATTGAGCCCAGGAGTTGAAGGCTGCAGGGAACCATGATTGTACCACTGCAATGTAGCCTGGGCAACAGAGTGAGACCCTAATTAAAAATAGTATTAAACCGGGCTCAGTGGCTCAGCCTATAATCCCGCGCCTTTGGGAGGCTGAGGTGAGTGGATTGCCTGAGCCGCGGGTTCGAGACCCGCCTGGGCAGTGAGACCTCATCTCTACAATAAATCAAAAAATCAGCCGGGCGTGGCAGCACATGCCTGTAATTCCGGCTACTCAGAAGGCTGAGGAGGAAGGATCGCCAGAGCCCAGCAGGTCGAGGCTGCGGTGGCTGGGAGCGGCCACTGCACTCCAGTCTGGGCGACCGAGTGAGACTCCAACTCAAAATAAATAAATAAATAAATAAATAAATAAAAAATAATATTAAAAAAAATTTTTTTTAGAGGCAAATATATTTACTGAAACACTTTCCAGTGATTCTTCTCATCTACGAGTCCTGTAGCTGATGACTTACCATAGAGGTTGATGAACCGAATGCAGCTCTCCACGATGAGGGGGATCACCTGTCCTGAGTCCTGGATAAAGAGAGGGAAGCCAGTGAGCCTCTAGGGAAAAGCACATGCCCCACCTCTTAACAAAGCCACAGCCTAGAGTGAGTTTTTACCCTTGTCGGTGACCGTTTCCCAGCCCACCCCCTCTCAAGTCTTGCCCAAGGCCAAAAAAGGAGTTGAAATTATTTATCTTTAAATGAAGGGGGATTTCAGTTCTGGAGCAAACCAGGTTAAATACTCGAAAGGCAATTCTGTGGCGCCTGGAGATGTCAGAGGCCAGTTTGTCTCTTTTACTTGTCTTTCGGCTCTCCTGCCAAAATGACCAACTCATCTTTTGGGAAACCGTAGGTATACAAGTGGTCAGTCTTGAATGCACTTAAAGATAACCCTGCGTATTTATAACCGTAGCATCTTAGGAAGGGTTGGTGGTTCTCATCATGGAAGACGACCTCCCGGCCATCTCAGGATTCTCTGCTGTATCCATGAAAGTCCACTGCCTAGGTGATGAGAGTTTTACTTATGGTCTGGGAGGGGGCCTCCAAAAACCCGGAATTGAGTGATAAAAAATGACGCATTATTCTTACATGTTTAAACCTCAGTCACCTTCAAAAAGTCTTACTGTTGCATGCAATGCACCTAGGGGGATGCTTTTTCCCACTGCTCAGAACAGTTTTTGAATGCATCTGTTTGGATGCCTTTTGAGTGCTTCTGCTGTTTTTGGTTTCGCCTCTTCCACATTGGCAAAATGTTTCCCTGTGGGGACTTTTTTCATCCCGGGAAACAAGGAAAGTCACGTGGGGTGAGATCGGATGACTAGGGAGGGTGGGGCACGGGGGTCGTGCCGTGCCTGGCTAAAAACGGCTGAACGCTCCGTGTGGGGTGGGCAGCTGCACTCATCAGTCGCCCATCGTGAAATGGGCAAATGTGTAGCTTTGAGGAAGAGAATCAGAGCTGGGGAAATCTCCAGGGATGACCTCCACAGAGTTACCTGTGGTTTCCTTTTCCTTCGATCCTGATTTTTTTAACAATACGTTGCAACTTACTCTTTGTATGAATGAGGCCTCAAATAAATTGGAAAATGGGCAAAGAAAAATATACATAAAAAAACCCAAAACAGCCCCCTCCCCAAAATGCACTGAAGCCGAACTCAGCCTCTCACAACAACGCTAGCTGGTACATGGATGCTGAGAACACTCACCTAGTAGAGAAGCCTGTACACCAGGGGCCCACCCTCCACAAGGTGATTCTGGTTTTTTTGGGTCCTCCCCAAGATAATAATATTTAATACTAATATATATTTTTTTTCTTTTTTTGATCTGAAGTCTCACTCTGTTGCCCAGGCTGGAGTGCAGTGGCACGCTTACGGTCACCGCAGCCTCGACCTGCTGGGCTCTGGCGATCCTTCCAAGTAGCTGGAACTACAGGCGCACGCCACCATGCCCAGCTCATTTTTTTTTTTATTGTAGAGATGCGGTTTCACCAAGTTGTCCAGGCTGGTCTTGAACCCCTGAGATCAGGCAATCCTCTCGCCTCGGCCTCCCAAAGTGCTAGGATTATAGGCGTGAACCACCGCGTCTGGCTTATTTTTCTTTTTTTAGGGACCAGGTCTGGCTCTGTTGTCCAGGCCGGATTGCAGTGGCACAATCATGGCTCACTACAGCCATGATCTCTTGGGCTCTAGTGATCCTCCTGCCTCAGTCTCCTGAGTAGCCGTGATTACAGGCACACGCCACTATGTCCGGCTAATTTCTAAACTATTTTTCATAGAGATGGAGGTCTCGCTATGTTGCCCAGGCTGGTCTTCAACTCTTAGCCTCAAGTGATCCTCGCCTTGGCCTCCCAGAGTCCTTGGATTACAGGTGTGAGCTACCACGCCCAGCCAATGACGACAGGTATAAAAGAGCTTCCATGTATGTAGAAGCATGAGAGGAGCATTATTTTGCAGATAATTAAAATGTGTCATGCATTGACTTGGTTTGCATCAGAACTTACTCATCCTTAGACATTTTTCACTGGTTTTTTTTCGCGTCTTCTAAGGAGTAAGAAAAAAAATCGCACCGATGTGCATTCCATTAGCTCTCATTCTTCATTTTTTTTTCATTCTTCATTTTTTGGCCTTTCCCCCCACATCTTGGGAAACAGTCACTGCCCTCTACTGAGCAAACGTAAATTCTGGAAATGCTTTAGAACGTGTCTAGGATGGCAGATGAGATGAAGGAGGGGCTGAGATCACAGTAAAGTATGTGTCAATGCCAAGCACTCCGTGAGTCATGGAAGGTTACTGACTGGGATATCTTTTATGAACTTTTAAGACTCTGCTCTCTCAAGAATTAGATGTGAAAAAAACCCCAAAAAACTGTGGGGCTCAAACATGATTAGCTGCCAGCAGGTATTCATTCGTGAGGAATTTTATTCTGAAACCCAAGAAGAACTTGGTTGTCTTAATATATTAGGACAATCCGCAATCCACCAACCTTTCCATTAAGCAGCGGGGGGAAGGGTTGGGAACAAGCAAATTCAACAATTTAAACGCTTTACTATTCCCCGAATGGGTAATACACGTCTTAAGGAATAGTTTTATTTTAAGCTTTAAGACAGTCTAATCAGTGTATAAACCAGCAAATGGCTCAATTACTTCTGGAGGCTGTATTAAGTTTCTCTAATTAGTTAATCTGCTTTAGGAGCATACATTGTATTAATTTCTTAAAGAAGAGTCTTAAGAATAAAAACGTTTTGGTGTGGACTAGTGGGCTCAAGAACAGCAATATAATTACATCAGAACTTATTGAATATGTGAGGGTTTTTCTTTAAGGCACAAGCTGTGTCTAGGGGAGGTAATCATTATGTGAACAATTCATGTAACACTGTCGTCTAAAAGCAACAAACATTTAAACATAAGTAGTAAAGAATTATTAGTTTACACCTCTGCTGAATTTAGGATTAAAACAAAAAGAGAAACAAAGAATAAAAGGTTATTAAAAGGAAAATGTTTGCACTAAGCAAGTTCTAAATTTTAAGAAAGTCGTAGGCTTCCTTATTAAAAAAAAAAGTCTTTACATTTACTTAGGTGACTGACAATCTTTTAGTTATTATCAGTATTTCCTTCAGAGATATGAATTCTGTAGTCAAAAGGCAATGAGAGTGTGTGTTTTTGTTTTTTGAGTTGGGGTCTCACTCTATCACCCAGGCTGGAGTGCAGTGGCACAATCACGGCTCACTGCAGCCTCGACCTCCTGGGCTCAGGTGATCCTCTTGCCTCAGCCTCCCAAGTAGCCGGGACTGCATGCGTGCACCACCATGCCCAGCTAGTCTGTTTATTTTTTGAAGAGATGGAGTCTTACTGTGTTGCCCAGGTTGATCTTGAACTCCTAGACTCAAGCAGTCCTCCTGCCTCAGCCTCCCAAGTAGCCGGAACTACACGCATGCACCACCATGCCCAGCTAATCTATTTTTTTTTAAGAGACGGGGTTTTGCTGTGTTGCCCAGGCTGGTCTTGAACTCCTAGGCTCAAGCAGTCCTCCTGCCTCAGCCTCCCAAAGTGCTGGGTTCACAGGTGTGAGCTACTGCACTGTGTGGCCGGAGAGTGTGCTGATTTAATTTCATGAATGCCAGATGCTTGGGTAGAAAATATCTCACAAAAAGTCAAACTATGAGTGGCATTCCATCTACCATTTAAATAAATCTCTCTGTGCCTCTGTTTCCTGGTGGGAAAAAGAGGAGGAAGGCCTTTGCTCTTGCCGACTCACAGTGACATTGGGGAGCCCTCCACTGGCCAAGCGCTTGGCAGAAGGCGCCTTCTGGCTCACGACTGTCACCAAAGCTTCTTCAAGGTGGAGGAGCATGCATATGAATTCTCCACAATCACTGGCTTATTTCTGAGTCCCTTCGTCTGGTTTCCTTCAACTGTTCTTAGCAAAAACTTTTTTTTTCTGGAGCCAGGGTCTCACTCTGTCACCCAGTTGGAGTACAGTGGCACGCTCAAGGTCACTGCAGCCCCAATCCGCTGGGCTCAGGCGATCCTTCCACCTCAGCCTTCCAAGTAGTTGGAACCACAGGCATGGGCCACCACACCCGGCTAATTTTTTGATTTATTGCGGAGACGAGGTCTCGCCAAGTTGCCCAGGCTGGTCTCGAACCCCTGGGCTCAGGCAATCCTCTTGCATAGGCCTCCCAAAGTGATGGGATGACAGGCGTGGGCCACCACGCCTGGCTTAAAACTTTTTAAGACTGTGACACGTGATTCCCTGTCACCTACAGCAGCCACACTCACACGGTGTTAGCAAACAGAACAGAACCCATGTGTGCGCCTGGGGGTGTCTCTGTTCTTCTCTCCACCTGGCTTCGTCTCATGGCTCTCATTTGTCCATCCTCTCTCTCCATCTATTTTGCCCCTGCTGGGAGGCCAGGGGCTGGGGCACTAGGTAACCACACTGGACAATAATTGTCTATTAAATTAGAGCCCGTACAGCTCTTCTGGTCTTAAGGCTTCAGGCAGTGGATTTGGGACGCTATTCGAGTGGCCCAGTGGCTTGTCACTTAATTCCTCATGTTTAAGGCTCATGTGTAAGACTGCCAGAGATTTTATATCTCCACAGATGCACGTATGCCTGCCCGTGTCTGTCCACATAGATACCATGTGTGCAAGGACATTTATTTTTTAACGATTCAATAAACAGATCTACTTTTAAAGAAAGCAAGATGTCTGTAACATGTCATTCAGGGAGGTTATGAACGATGTGGCTCCTCACATAAATCTAGTCTTCAGCAATGCCGCAGCCCATGACATCAAATGAGAGTGGCGAAGGACAAAGAGAGCCCTCTTCTTTCTGGTGTGATTTACCCCGGGGTCCCTAATCCAGGATTCAATGTGTATTTGGTATCACCCACGAACTTTCCTTCCCAAAAGCCCCGGGTTCAAATTTGAGATGTTTGCCAAACACATACTGTGGGAACTCAGAGTTTAATTCATCCATGTTTCCCAGAGAGGGTTAAGTCTCTACACACGTGTTCGATTTCTGTAGCTTCTGAGAAAGGCCTCTTCCTGAACCTGCCTAACTTCCAACGGCAAACATTTTGCTTTTAAAGACCTTACGAGTCTCATGGAAGCCGAGCATGAGCATGACTTGGAAGTGACACGGACAGTGAGGGGCGGTGTCCCCAGAACCCTCTAGACTATACCTGGTGTCTCGTGTGCGAGTTCCTTCGTCCTCGGCTAGAAGCATTACCAGAAATAGAGGGTGAAAAAGAAGACGGAGAGTAAACACGGCAGAGATTCAAGACACAGGCCACAGGGTCTCACAATTTGTCCAATATAATGATTTCCTTAAGTCACAGGAAAGCTCACTCCCCGCGGGGCTGCGGGGTGGCTTCACAGATGGACTTTACACCGAGATTTTGTGCTATCTCATTCGTGCAAATAGAAATGAAACATTTGATCAGATTGACCTTTCCCCCTTTCTTTGGGGTATAAACTGTGGCCTTAAAAAATAAAGAAATAGGGCTTTTTCTTTTGCCCACATAACAGCACCCACTTTTGTCTCATCAACCCAAATATTCTTTCCTCTCTGACTTCAGGAAATATTATATTGATTTTTCTCTGGGAAAGCAAAGAGCCCCAAGACAGACTTGGACATAATGACCTGCCTCTTTTCACGAGAGGCGGAGACCATTATAGGAAGACGCGTGGAGACCAGCCACCCAGATGGCTGGAGCCAGTACCTTGACGAATGTTTCCAAATCCCCATTAAACAACTTAGCATTATACTGTGAGCGGGGTCTGGACTTCCTGTGTTTCTGGGGCTTAGGGGGAACATTTGGAGGCCTACGGGAAGGGAATATAATTACTGAGCACGACAGAAATCAAACAGTAAATGAAACACCCACAGGTCACATCAAAATTACAACACGTTGGAGTCCTGGGTTCCTTCCCCACCACCTCCCCCATTCCCATTTATTGACTCTTAGGTATGTCTCAAAAACACACCAGCTGTTTTCCTGTATGTGGAAGCGGACATTTGTTTAAAAATGAGAAGCATGATCAAATGGCATTGTGAGCTATTGGGCCAAATGTTTTGTTCTCATTATTTGGTTTATGAATCACACAGCAAAGCACAACCAATCCTAAAATGTAGGGCCTGGGTAGGTCCTCAGATTAGAAGTTAGACGGAATATTTTTAGTTACCACAGAATGCTTCAGTGCAAGTAATATCACATCTGTTTGGGTCACAAGTGAGAAAATAAGAGTTTGGTTCTAATGCTGTTTCTGATCTCAGGGGCACAGGCTGCCAGGGCTATTATTTCTTTAGCAAAGCTATCCAGCCACCTAACTAATTGCAGAGCACACCAGTGCCCTATTTATGCTGGCCGGGACTCTTCCTCTTGGGTCTGTGTGTTTGTCTTGGTAGACACGCCAGTCTCTCAGACATGGACACATCTGTGTGCTGTGTACTATGTTTAGAAACCGCCCATCAACTTGCATTGTAATTGCAGAGAGGGAAGATCTTCCACTCTCTCCCATCGGTGGGAAGAGGGCCAGGACTCCCTGACTTCACGGTCCACCTCTGTGCTAAGTGGAAGACCCAGAGCCTCTCTCGATGTTCCAGTTCAAGATCCTTGATGGCAAGGCATCTACGAGGATGACACCATTTGGAAATTAGGTCAAGGTCTGCCTCAGACTGCAGACTCTCTAGGAAAGATCACCTGTCTAGTTCCTTTCGCTTATGGACAGGAAGTCCAGCTTAGACACCAAATCCCAAGAGTTGATGTGCAAACCGGGCCAGCTTCCTGAGATATTACCACATCGAGATGCGGCCTCCCACCGCTAAATTCTAAGGCTCTCCCAGCAGATGGGCTCACGTGGCCCGTGGGGAGTACAGCAAGCGGCAACTGAAGACCTGTGGTGCTTGAAGCTGAAAGGAGCCTTTGCAAGGATCTAGAAGCAATATGGAAGCCTCTAGCAGGCAGCGCATCATGTCTTGCCATAACTGAAATCCCAAAATCGCTATCACTTTTATACACTGAATTCTGTGCCATGCACGGGGAAAAGAGTCTGGTAGGCATAACAAAACAAAACAACGGATCACCCAAGGGTTTACCCATGCGTCCTCATTCACTCTTTTATTTTATGAGTGTTTTAAGATGTGGATCACATCCTTATTCAGGTATGGTGAGGCCAACAGATCGGGCCCTTGAGAAGATGGTTTATTACTCACAGTTCCCAAGAGGAGGAGTGCGCCCTGCCATGGGTGAGGTCACGGGGGAAGCACCAGGGATGGTCGGGAGCAGAGGGAGCCTTCGTTGTGGTTCCCACAGGAAGAAATTCCCAGTCACCAAGGGGCATCACGAGCGATTTGGGCAAATGTCACAAACCGGGGCTCTTGTTGTTTGGTTTATTAGTCACACAGTAAGACACAACGCGTCACAAAAACCAGGACTCAGAGAGATCTCCAGGTTAGAAATCAGATAAAACATTTTCGGCTACAGCATCATTCATCCATGCAAGCACCCTCACATCTGCTGGGTCCCCCCTCAGGTGTGGAGAGGCAGGGCAGGCAGGCTCGAAATGCACTCGTTTGAGTAATTTTGGTGGGCTTTGGGGTGGAGGGGTTCCCCTAGCTGCCTGTACCTGGCCCTAGGTGGCAGGGGAGGGGAGAAGTGGCCCTGAGTGTGAGCCCTGACAAAGGCGGTGCTGGGATGTGTACCCTGACCAGCTGGCTTGTGTGCAAAGGGTGTGCCTGCAAGCTCTTTCTTTCCATCTCTCGGAGCTGGTGAACCCCCAAGGGGTCACCCTTCAGGGTCAGCGAGGCCCCAAGATATCAGAGCATTAAATATAGAGAGCAGAAACATGGCTATCACCACGCACTCCAACAATGCCCCACATCCGATGGTATCCAGAGTTGAGGGGAGCAGTTGGTGTGACCACTGATTCGTGGAGAAAGCCACAGACTCTAGTGGCATAGAATAATTGTCCCTGCATGACTGGGAGATGCATGGGAGCCCCTGGCCTGGGTGAACAGAGGGGCATCCTTTGAGTCCTTCACCAAAGGCCTGAAAGTGGCCTCTTCCGAAGGTTCTAAAACTTGAGATAAATGTGAATCAACAAAAGTTGTGAGAGGAACCCAGCATTAAAGTCACTGCCTGAGTGCCAGAGTGATTTCTGTGGCGGGGGCGAGTTGTCAGGCAGCCTGGGGCACCATGATCCCTGGGGCACCATGATCCTGGCGGCACCATTCCCTTGTCTGGTGGCCAGTGCCAGGGCTGATCCAAGCGCCAGCTGTGTGACTCACACAGGCTATGTGCCTACCATGCCACTTCCCAGGAACTGGGTTTCCTACGGAGGACATCCAACGCGAGAGAGGTACTGCTGGTCAGGTCAATGTCAAGATCTAGCCCATCAGTCAATGACAGTTCTCATCACAGATTGATATACTGGCATACCTTCTTTTTGAAAAAAATATTTTTTGAAGTGCCTTACATTAATTATAATTTTGAAACAAGAGACAAAATAATTGTTACAGCAAAGAGATACTGTATGTGGGAAAAAATTGTTACATGTTGCCTATTACTGGGCCAGAGGTAATTGTCTTCTTTTTCATGGACATGGTAAAGAAAAACCTTAGTTATTATTTTTTTTCTTTTGTTTCGAAAAGCTAGCTCCTGTATGTTTTTAGCTGGCTCACTTGGAAGTAAGAGGGGCTTCCTTATGAATAAAATGCCCTGAAGTAACATGATAGGACTTTGAAAATGAACTTGCCAAGGATTCCAACAGCCACACCAGCATTCTAAACACCTCTTACCTCGAAGAGAACGCAATTTTGACAAGTGCAAACTCTTGCCGTGTTAATTAGAACCATTTACCGCTGCGGCACAAATGGTGACATGGAAAAATAAAACTTTCCCCAACCCAAATCAGAATCTGCTACCAAAATGGCTTCTCTATCGCCACAGTGGCTTCCAAACCCTTCCAGGAACGAAGAAAGCACACTATGGGTGTCGATGTTCAAAGTTAAACTTTTAAAGCAAGTGAAAAAAGTGAAGAGAAAGAATTAAAATCCTAAGGACATTGAATGTAGCTTGAATTTTTATATGACTAAGGGAACACAGGAACAGAAAATAATCGTCTTCTCTACTTACTAATTCAGTAGATATAAACATCACGTTGCTTTTTAATGAAACGATCAAATCAAAAATCTTCTCAGATTATTTCTAAAAACTTAAAGTGTTTGGATAAGGTGAGCCAGTCCTGTTCACATAAGTCTCTGCCACTGCTTCTGCTTTTCTTTCTATTTTTTTTTTTGAGTTGGAGTCTCACTCTGTCGCCCAGGCTAGAGGGCAGAGGCATGCTCACGACCACCCCAGCGTCAACCTGCTGAGCTCCAGCGATCCTCCCATCTTGGCCTTCCAAGTAACTGGAACTACAAGCAAGTGCTACCATGCCCGGCTCATTTTTGATTTATTGTAGAGATGAGGTCTCACCAAGTTGCCTGGGTTGGTCTCGAACTCTCAGGCTCAGACAATCTACTCGCCTTGGCCTCCCAAAGTGCTGGGATGACAGGCTGAGCCACTGAGCCAGGTCTGCCTCTGCTTATTAAAGAACTTTAATTCCACTGGGAAGCCCTTGGCTCAGTCCAGTAGATTTGGTCTTGTGAGAAACCCAAACATTTCATGTTGCTACTTTGTGTCAAGCCAAAACTCTCTCCCGTGTTCATTAACAAAGAATGTTCATTCTTGCAGCACTGAAATAGTTGCTTCTGGTTACAGAGAAAAGCAAGTGAGAGATACGATAAGTTATCATAAAATATTGTCTTACCTCGTTGTCATGTATTCAGCTCTATGACCTGCAAGGGGGAAAAAAAATTAAATGAAGTAAGTTGGATGGAATCGTGGAATGTATTTGGTCATTTTTCATTTCCTCTGTCCCTTGTTTTAAAATGCTGAGTTATAAGAACTCCCATATCTTATGGTGGAAAACACGAGGACAGCAGACAAAGACAGACACATAATTCAAAGTAAACGTTTCACAGGATCTATGTGTAAAATTTAAGACAGTCTATATAATTGAGAAACATGTTTCACTTGGCAATTTGAGACAGGGGTTTTTCTTTTTTAAACACATAAGAAATAGCTCCTTGATCATAACTGTAAGTCCAGAGATGAAACACAAATAAAACTTATCCAAGATTTGCACATGATTCCCTCTGTGCTGGCTGACACTTGCAGGGGAGAGGGAGAAGGTCACATGGTGTTGGAAGAACTCAGTCTCCAACTCACATGGTGTTGGAAGAACTCAGTCCCTTAGACTCAACTGGTATTCTTTCTGTACTAGGAAGTCAGGGGACTGGAGGGAAGCTGTATTCTGTAATCAGAAATGACATTGACCGACACTAGAGTATTAGGATATTAAATTGTACAACACGGCTGGGCTCGGTGGCTCAGCCTGTCATCCCAGCACTTTGGGATGCCGAGGCGAGTGGACTGCCTGAGCCTGTGGGTTCGAGACCAGCCCGGGCAACACAGTGAGACCCTGTCTCTACAATAAATCAAAAAATTAGCTGGGTGTGGTAGGGGGCATGCCTGTAGTTCCAGCTACTTGGAAGGCTGAGGCAGAAGGATCACTGGAGCCCTGCAGGTGGATGCTGGAGTGGTTGTGAGCATGCCACTGCCCTTCAGCATGGGCGATGAAGAGAGATTCCAACTAAAAAAAAAATGTACAACATTCGGCCAACTTGTAAGCTAAAAGCCTTCTGAAGCCTTCTTTGCCCATCATGGCACGAGATTCTTCCCATATCGCTGGGTCTCTTGGCTTGCCTTAAATGGTGGGTCTGCATTTCTGTGGGGCTCCCATAGTCTGCATGAAGTTCAGGTTTGCCTATGCCTGTTGGCTGCCGTCTGTTCTTATGTTGTAAGGTGGTGCGGTGGGAAGGGATGTGGGAGAGCTGAACTGTTCAACTGGTTTGTCTGCAAAATGATCAGCTGGTCCCGAAACAGCTTGGAAACAGAGCTGGCAGAGAAGAGGCACGCTGCAGTGCCAACAGGCATGCCCAGCCCAGCACGTCCCCACCGGTGACTCAGGCAACGGGGTGAGGCTGACAGCACGATGGTGAAGAAAGTCAGTGGACAGAGAGCGTGGATGACACTCACTGCTGCAAGACAGCCTTTTACTCTGTGACCTGCTCTCGAGTAACAAATAGCGCCAAGGATTTGATTAATGCCTAAGGACTGGCCTGCGTGGTGGCTCACACCTCCCAGACTTTGGGAGGCCGAGGGGAGAGGATTGCTTGAGCCCAGAAATTCAAGACCAGCCTGGGCAACATAGCAAAACCTCATCTCTACCAAAAAATTAAAAAAAAAAATAGCTGGGTATGGTGGCATGTGCCTGTGTTCCCAGCTATGCATCAGGCTGAGGCAGAAGGATCGCCTCAGCCCAGGAGGTCGAGGCTGTAGCGAGTCGTGATCATGCCAACACACTCCAGCCTGGGTGACAGAGTACGATCCCAACTCAAAAAACAAAACAAGACAAAAACTCCTAAGGATTAAGCAGAGGGAACAGACACTATCAGAGAATGCCATTCTCAAAGGAGAGCCAGGCCACAGGAAGCACCAGGGAAATCGACCTTGGCCATGACTTGAAATGGGGCTGAGGGGAAAGGGAGGAAGCGAATTCCCCCTTAGCCCAGTTCTATCAGTCCCCTGTCAGTACCCTCCTTTTGCTGGCCTTCTGCTGATTTGGAGGAGAAGAAGAAAGGGAAGAGGTACATGGAACTCCAGAAGTTTCTATAGCTATGAGCTATGGGTGAACGGGGGAGAACATTTCCCAAGAAGCAGAGGGGGCCAGCGGTGCACCGACTGAGGGGTGGTGCCTTGGTGTATCCCAATGTGTGTGTGTGGGTTGGGGGGGAGGATCAGCAGAAAGCTGGCTGCACTGAGAGGCGACGGGCTGGGATCCGATGTGACAGTCGCTGCCACGTAGGTTGAATGGGGCCACAGGAGCTGGCCAAACCACCAGGTGGGTCAGGAGAACCAGCAAAGGTCAAGGGCAGAGAGCTGTGCTGTATTCAGTCATGCCACACACTTCATTACAGCATGAAGTGTAATTAAGCCTGATGCAATATGTATTCGCGGCAACGGTAAAAACAGCAATGGTGTCTAACGTTTATTAGCCATTGTTCCAAGCACTCTCTATTATGAACATTCACTCACAGTCTGCCCAACAACCGGCTGAGGCAGTTTCTGTTATTCTTATTTTACAGAAGAGACCGCGCCTCTAGGAGAGTGACTCGCCCAAGGTCAAGCTGTGAGTATGGATGGGTCTGGCACTAAGGTCCAATTTTGTTTTAACACCAGACCTGAACTTCCAAGTACTATAATGTATTTGCTTTAGAAGCATTAAGTCTAGCCAGGCATAGTGGCTCACATCCATTACCCCAGCACTTAGGGAGGCAGATGGAGGAGGATTGTTTGAGTCTAGGAGTTTGAAACCAGCCTGAGCATCATAGCAAGACCTCATCTCTACAAAAAAATTAGCGGGGTATGGTGAGCCCATGCCTGTAGTTCCAGCTATTTTGGAGGCTGAGGCAGGAAGATTGCCTGAGCCAGGAGGTCAAGGCTACCGTGAGCCATGATAGTGCCACCACACTCCAGCCTAGATGACAGAGTACAATCCTGACTCAAAAAAAAAAAAAAAAAAAAGGAAGAAATGAAAGTCTTTTTTAAATTTTCCTGGCAAATGGTTTCAAGGCTCTTGGAAGAAGGTAGGGTTATAGTTTATAATTCTGCCTGCTTCTCATGGCTAAAGTCAAGCACAAAATACTCAACATTTTAATAGATTTAACACATTAAGTATGTAAATTATTAAATTAATAAATACCTAGATATTTAAATGGAATAATGCAGGTTAATCCCTTTCAAATGACTTAGTGATGAGAAAGCTAATGGGAATTCCTTAGAAGTGAAATGCTTTGTCACTCTAAAATGTTGCTGATTTTGTTAAAATACCCCACCAAGCCATTCTCTAGATCTTGAACAAAATGATATGTAAAATGCTTAAAGTCCTCTCGCTCCACCCAGTCATGAGATAAAAAATTAAAAAGCGATCAGGATACTTTTTGCATAATGGACCAGGAACAAGCTTTATGAGAACTTCCCTTCACAGCCAAACTGCGCCACACAGCTCTCATGTTCCAGCTAATAGGACTGAGTATGTCTCAGCTGATGAATGAGGTTTTATTTTTTAATCAGAATCATCATTATTAGATCAATAACACACAGGCTGAGAAGACTCTCCTTCCCAGAGAAATGTGAAAGCTTCCAGTGGACTGAGGCTTGGGAGCCTACTTAATTATTAAAAACAACAGACGACGCCTTCCCCCCAACCTCTCTACACACAAGCCATTTGGAAGAGAAAAGAAAAAAAAATGACCTCGGATCCACTTGTTCAAACACTTTCTTCAGCCACTCTTAAATTTCACTTGAGGATTATGAAGTATCTCCAGATAGCAAATGGGAAAACCATAATGCAGCTTGGTGGCAATTTGAGATGAAAAACAAACAAACGAAAAAATAAATAAATATTTCAAACGTGCACAGTTCAAATGAGACAGAGACACCCTGGACTTGCTCCCTAATGAATTTCTTTCTTTCTTTCTTTCTTTCGAGTTGGAGTCTCACTCTGTCACCCAGACTGGAGTGCAGGGGCATACTCCTGGCCGCCGCAGCCTAGACCTGCTGGAGGGCTCAGGCGATCCTTCTGCCTCAGCCTTCCAAGTAGCCAGAACTACAGGCGCACGCTACCATGCCCGGCTCATTTTTGATTGATTGTAGATTTGAGGTCTTGCCAAGTTGCCCGGGTGGGTCTTGAACCTGCGGGCTCAGGCAATCCACTCGCCTTGGCCTCCCAAAGTGCTGGGATTACAGGCTGAGTCACCAAGCCAGGCCCCAAATGAATTTCAGATGAGAACTCGGGGCGTGACGTTCTAGCTCCTTTCCTTCCTTAAGAATTCCAACTCCTGCAATGGTTTTTATCTAAAAAAAAAAAAAAAGTCACCCACCATCAGCTTCTCTTCTGAAGACACAGCTGTACTTCTACTCAGAGACAGCGGACTGTGTGAGGATAACCTGCTCCATGCCTTTGTTGGGTCCCTTCTGCCCAGGGCGAGAGACGAGGAAATAGAGTCATAGGTGCGCTGAAATTGACACCCCCTTAACTCCAGACGCACAGAGAGGCCAGTGGGAACGTCAAGGTGTTCCTGAAAGGGAAGGGACGGCAGCGCCTCTGTTTTACAGATGTGTGTCTCCTGCATGGTGGTCAGGTTAGCCTCTCTGATTTAAAAAGAAACAGCATCACAAAAAAGATGCAAGGGTGTTGCCGAGGGAGGGAGAGGACGGGTTTGGTCTTAGCACCGTATTATTTCCGTTTCAACCATTTTCGAGGATTTGGAATTCTGAATGTCGATGGTGCCACTGAGAGGGCCCCATTGAGTCGCTTCACAGTGCTGAAAATCAAAGAATGTCCTGGATGGCTGGTGGTCTGCCAAGACGTGAGCGGGAAGGCGGGCGAGACATGTGGCTGCCCTTACACGTTCAGCTGTGCACGAGCAGCTGTGTGTCTTGGGCTGAGCGCTGCTCGTTTCACGACGGAGGCAGGTTTTGCAGCCCTGAGATATGCCGCAGAGAGGCCATTTTTATAAAAAGTCAAGGCTGTCCCAGAGCAGCCACTGAGCCCCGTGCTACTGTTTAGCCAAATCTGGACTTGGATTCCACCACGGGGGTCTCACCATGCGGTGACTTCACCGTGGGAAAGGTGCCATGGCTTCCTGGTACCCTTGGGTGTAAGCTTCTTGATGCCATGGGCTTGTATGGATGCGGCAGGCTCACCATGGGGGCGGGGCTTAAAGGTGGGCTTGGCTCCCATGCTGGGCATTCCTCAGGGTCAAGCTGCCACTGTTGAACCCAGGCAGTGCCCAGCAATTGGTGTGCCGCCAAACCCGCGTGAGGGACATGCCACATGTGGGTAGAGACTAGCGTGTCTGCCGACAGATGGAAACCTGCTAGTTCCTTCAGCAGAATAAATGGAGCCCAGTGAAGGCCTTATACAACTGAACACAGCTTGTGCCCCTGGGAAAGGAATTCCAAGATAGGCCAGGCACAGTGGCTCACACCTGTAATCTCAGCACTTCTGGAGGCTGAGGCAGGAAGATTGCTTGAGTCCTGGAGTTCAGGTCCAGCCTGGGCAACATAGCAAGACATTGTCTCTACCAAAAAACCCCCCAAAACCAACCAGCCAGGTGTAGTGGTGCATACTTATAGTCCCAGCTACTCAGGAGGCTGAGGAGGGAGGATCGCTTGAGCCCAGGAGTGGAGGCTGCAGTGAGTCATGACTGTGCTACTGCACTCCAGTCTGGGTGACAGAGTGAGACTGACTCCAAAAATAAAAAGAAAAATTTAAAAAAGAAAAAAAAAGACCTTCCAAGATAAAGAAATCCTGGCTCACAGTTCACAAGGCTATATATACATGGAATCCGGTGTGTGGATTCTGCAAATTGGCTCAAATATAGCCCTAACCACTAATGACATGTAAAAAAATATTAACCACTGGGGCTTCCTCTCCAGGAGACAAGGGAGAATCTAGCTGAACGGACAGAAGTTCCAGAACGTGGCCCCAAGCGCAAGAGCACATGTGTATGATGCCAAGAATGAGTTCTCCTACGCTCATTCTTTCTAACGCACAGTTTTTAACAAGATCTGCAGTTGTGGAGAAGGGCTGTGTGTCTAAAACATTCCCCTACACTTAGGACCATTTATGCTTCAGGACTGGCAATGGGCCGTGAGGGAATCACTGGAAACCTCAGGAGATGGTGAAACATTAAAAAAAAAAGACCTTGTGTGATATTATGCGGGGAAAAAATAAAACAAAATGGGACACAACTGCTGAAGTAGAAAAACTATTCAAAGTCAAAAACGTTTTCAAAAGTTCAAACCTACAGAGAGTTCAAAACGGGGAGTGTCCTCATGCCCTTCATGGGGATTTCCAATGCTTCACATTTGTCATACTGGCTCTCTCTCTACCTCTCTCCTCCCATATATACATATATATCTATATCTTTTTTTTTAAACCATTTGAAGTTGCAGATATCATGACACCCCAGCCAGCATTTCTTAAAAATACTTTTCTCACTACAACACCATTATCACAACTAGGAAAATTAACATTAATTCTAGAATATCATTGAATATACAGTATATCTTTAAACTTCTCAGTTGTTCTCAAACTGTCTTTTATAATTTTGGCTTTTTTATTCAGTCTATATTAATCTCGTGTGTGAAGGTTCACAGACAGTGCTTGGTTATTTCATTTTATTTTGAGTTGGAGTCTCATTCTGCTGCCCAGACTGGAGTGCAGTGGCACGCTTGTGGCCATCACAGCTTCGACCTGCTGGGCTCAAGTGACCCTTCCGCCTCAGTCCTCCAAGTAGCTGGAAGTACAGGCATGTGCCATCACACCTAGCTAATTTTTCTTGATTTATTGTAGAGATGAGGTCTCGCCAAGTTGTCCAGACTGGTCTCAAACCTGTGGGCTCAGGCAATTAATTCTCTTATGTCGGCCTCCCAAGGTGCTGGAATTATAGGCATAAACCACTGTGCCTGGCCATTATTTTATTTTTTAAGCACATTTTTTATTAGTTTAAATGCTACTTTTTTCACCCTAGGTGAGACCAGCCGTGAGTGTGAGTGTGTATGTGTGTGTGTGTGTGTGTGTGTGTGTATGTGTGTGTAGAGCCTGGCCTCCTAACTGTGCCACGCATGGATTCTTGGGTCACCATAATCTTTCTCCTCATGGTCACTCCCTGACAACGATGGGTTTGGAAAAACCAGGAGACAGGATGATAGAAGAACTGCTTCACAGATAAGGAATTTTCCAGAATGGCAGGAGGCAGGAATTCAGGTCTAAGAGGGGCAACCTCTTTTTGTCCCGAGTTGCTCACACCACTCAGTCTTCTCATCCCCTGCCATATTCTCTCTGTTTTACTCTCTTTTTTTTTGAGCCGTAGTCTCACTCTGTCACCCTGGCTGGAGTGCAGTGGCACGCTCACAGCCATTGCAGCCTTGACCTGCTGAGCTCAGGTGATCCTTTTGCCTCAGCATTCCAAGTAGCTGGAACTATAGGCAAAGGCCACCACGCCCGGCTAATTTTTTGATTTGCTGTAGAAATGAGGTCTCGCCATGTTGCCCAGGCTGGTCTCAAACCCGTGGACTCTGGCAATCCTCTCACCTGGGCCTCCCAAAGTGCTTGGATTATAGGTGTGAGCCACAGTGCCGGCGCCCTCTTTCTCTGTTTTTAACATCCGGCAGGAGCTCGTGTGAATGAAAGATAATCAAAGTTGCAGAACACGAAGCACTTAAGACAGGGACTTTGCTTGATTTATTTTTTTTCCTTTTAAATGTCGTGAAGGTGAAAAGAGAAATGATAACATTACATAGCCCTCTTTGCCCAGAATTCTCTTCTTCCTCAGTTTCCTTATGCAAAAACGGCGAAATGAATAGTGCCCGGTTGAATGCACGGCTTGGACAAGGCCCAACACAGAGTGGGCCCTAGGTGAGTGTGGGGGGTGGCTGTTGTTTTTGTTATTATTATTAGACAGAGCAATCTATTTATACGATGAGATTATTTCTCAACCACAACCAATGCCTGCTGAAAGAAGAAACATCACCCAAACTGGTTTAGCTGGTTTCTAGAGTCTAAAAAGGCAACAGAGAAACCAACAAAGACCAGCCCATTCGAGCACACAGGGGCGGGGTGGGAAGGTTGGAAGGGCGGAGGCCCGGAAAGGAGGGAAGCAGTGATGGGCAGCAGCAGGGGCAGATGTTGCTCCCCTAGACTCCCTTTTTTTCTTCTTTTTTGAGTCAGAGTCTCCCTCTGTCACCCAGGCTGCAGTGCAGTGGCACACTCACGGCCACCCCAGCATCAACCTGTTGGGCTCTGGCGATCCTTCTGCCTCAGACTTCCAAGGAGCCAGAACTACAGGCGTGTGCTATCATGCCTGGCTAATGTTTTGATTTATTGTGGAGACGAGGTCTCGTCAAGTTGCCCGGACTGGTCTCAAACCCACAGGCTCAGGCAATCCACTCGCCTCAGCCTCCCAAAGTGCTGGGATGGACAGGCTGAGCCACCGAGCTCAGCCTGACTCCCTATTTTTAGAGACAGATTCTTGCTGTGTCATCTGGGCGGGAGGTGCAGTGGTGTGATCACAGCTCACTGCAGTCTCTATCTCCTGGGCTCGAGGGATCGTCCCATCTCAGCCTCTTGAGTTGCTGTGTCTACAGGTGCATGCCTCCATGCCTGGTTTATTTATTTTTCAAAATTATTTTGTAGAGATGGTGGTCTCACTACATTGCCGAGGCTTGTCTTGAACTTCTGGCCTCAAGTGATCCTCCCATCTTGGCCTCTCAAAATGCTGGGATTACAGATGTGAGCCACCAGACTCTTGTGCTCACAGGAGCACTGTCTTCTCAGGCTCCCTCCTCAGGGGCTCTGGGTCGATGTTTTAGCCCTCCCTAGATTTTGCTGTTCTTCTCCAAAGTTAGCACCAAACTCAAAGAAAATAGTTCTGGAGAGAACTTGATGATGACAGATACAGGTGAAACCAAGTGTAAACATATGGTGTCCTCTGCCCCTTAAAGCACAAACGCACAATTTACGCTCTCTGGAAGGGATACACACCGCCATGCACAGTCTACCTTATCTCCCTGCTGTCCCAGTCACCGACGGAAAGGACATCACATGGATTTAATATATCCAATGAGCAGCCATTTTAACATAACCTAAATCTCTAGCACTGCATTTAATTTACCCTCTAGCCAAGGACAGAACTGGTTCCTCAGAGGTAGCTGTTGATAACTGTCTTACTGTCCTCCTCTCAGCTTGTTTTGAACTAATTAACTTTTCCATTTAAGTATTTATCTCCCCCATAAGACCCAAGTTCATCTAATCAGCCCTTCATGACCTTTGGGACACAGACTGACCCCATTACCATGGCAACAAACATGTGACTAGCCCACCCATCTGCCTGCCATCCAGCACCTGACGTCAGTACCTGCGCTTACCTCCCCCTTCCTGATGACGTGGAGCAGACCACCACCCAATCACCTTAACGGCCCCCATCCAAGGAAAGGATTAAAGGGACTCAACCACGAGCACCCAGCTGCCATAGCCTCGCTAAATGATGGTCTGGCTATGTGTTCTTTGAGCTATGGCTGCCGCCATGTTTCCCTAAGCTTTGGCCCCCTACCTTGGGGAGATGAATCCTCTCTCTCTCTCGTTTGCTTTCTAAATAAACTATATTTTCCATTCTAACTTCTGTGCAATCCTTTGTGTCTTTCATGCGGCACCAGATCGCGGACGTCCAGATCGCAGATCTCCGACTCCGGTGGGTCTGACCTAAGATTATGGAAGCCCCGCTGGAATCTATTTTTAACCCAACACTGACCTTCTCCAAGTGTCCTCTGCAGCAGATCATGCTTGGCTTGAAGTTTTGTGATGAGATTGCTGCCTTCCAAGTATTCTCTGAGTTTCTACAAAAGGCAAGATTAATTTTTAAAGATTATTTGGGGTCAGCGGGCTTCTCTCGGGAAATCTAAAATCCAGCCACTTTCTTTTTCTGGATCCCAGAATCTTGCTACCTGACGTGTGGTCCAGAGACGGGCAACATTGGCCATGATGGGCCTGTGAGAGACGCAGCCTCAAAGGTCCCTCCCCCAGACCCCCTGGACTCAGAACCCTCACTGTGACCCACTCTCTTGGTGACATGTAAGGACATTAAAGTTTAGAAGTACTGCTGTAGGGCTGGGTATAGTGGCTTATGCCTGTAATCCCAGAACTTTGGGAGGCCGAGGTGGGAGGATCGCTTGGGCTCAGGAGTTCGAAACCTACCTGGGCCACCCAGCGAGACCTCGTCTCTACAAAATAGCAAAAAATAAGTTGGGTAGGGCAGCGTTTGCCTGTAGTCCCAGCTACTTGGGAGGCTGAGACGGAAGGATCCCCTGAGCCCAGGCGGTTGAGGCTAGGACAAGCCATGATTGTGCCACTGATTCCATCCTGGGGAACAGAGTGAGACCTCGACTCAAAAAAAAACACCAAGTACTGGTGTGGAGAAGCCCCCCAACTCCTAATGTAACGCCCAGTTCTGATGCAGAGTGAGCCCGGCTCAGAGGGTGTAGCTGGCAACCGTGCCGGAGGACCCACCATGAAGTAGAACTGCTCGGTCTCCTGCTGGTTGGCTCGCCTCTTGGCGATGCTGGGCTTGCTCAGGTAGGTTTCGGAGACCGTGGACTTCACGGACTCCGTGGAGCGGCTGTGCTGGAAGCACTCGGACACGTCATAGTCCTCAATGGTGACCATGTCCTGGATCGTCTGCAACGTGGCTTCTGTCGTCTTCTTTACCTGGGAGCAGAAATGCGTTTCTCAAGTGAGTGCGTCGCGGCAGCGATCCCGCACACGCTTGGCCAGAGGCTGCTCGGTCAGCAGAGAACAGACGTGGCCCTGGCCCGGGAAGGTCAGAGTCACAAGGGGAGAAAGACAGACACAGTCCTCCCTGCCACCGGGGGGTGGGGGCTCCTTCAAAACGCTCCAAGAAGCGTGCCACTTCATACTGAAGTCCCTATGAATTTCACATATCCCTGGGCAATCTCTCAATCATTCATTCATTCATTTATTATTTTTCAGAGGTGAAAGAACTGGAGACTATTCAGAATATCAAAAGAAGCTCCCAAGCAGGAGGGGACCTGGAAGAGGGTTGCCCTATTTTTGCTTTAAATAACTACCTTTCTTGAGACAGGATCTCTCTGTCCCCCAAGCTGGAGTGCAGGGGCACAGTCATGGCCACCACAGCCTTGATGTCCTGGGCTCAGTAACTCTTCCCCCCTTCAGCCTCCCAAGTAGCTGGGATTACAAGCGTGCACCACCATGCCTGGCTAACTTAAATTTTTTTTTTTTGTAGAGACAATATCTTGCTATGTTGCCCAGGCTGGTCTCAAACTCTTGGCCTCAAGCACTCCTCTAGACTCTTAAATAACTTTTTCAATGGAAGCAAAACGACATACAGAGAAACATAGCCCAGCTGAATGCAGGGCCACAAAGTGAACACACCCATGTGAGCACGACTCAGATCAAGAAATAGTGAACTGCGAGCCCCCTCGGCCTCTCGCAATCACCAGGCACCCTTCCCCACCCACACGGCCACAACTCCAGTTTCTGACATCATAGGTGAGTTGTGCTCTGTGTTGGCCTTTATGCCAGTGAAATCCCATAGCATGTGCGACTTCCTCGTTTCTTTTGCTCAGCTTAGTGAGAACCTTTCATTTCTTGTGAGGGTGGCATTTCACTGTTGAATATCCATGGCAAGAATACATTGTAACTCTCCCTTTTGGCGTTGATAGGCGCCATTTTGAATAATGCTGCTTCGGACCCACTTTTCTTGGGCCACACCATGAGCAGAACAGCTGCTCACAGGCTACGCTGGACAGGCGTCCAAAATGACAGCTGTCATTGACACACCCACCAGCAGAGCGCGAGGACCCCCTCCTCATCGGGTGTATTGCTTGAGGTCATTGAGGTGGGTGGGCAGTGGTAACTCCTTGTGGGTTTTTTCTCCGCCCCCTTGGCTTCCTTAATTTTTTCCCGCAGTTTCTGTATTTTAACACTATGGGGGAGCGTTGGTTTTTTTTTCCAGTTGCTCAGCACAATTTTGCTAAAAGAAACTGTTGGTTGTAGGTGCCGATTATCTTATTTTTATGCAAAAGATGAAACAACAGCTGTTTTTCTTTTTTGTTGTTTTTGTTTTTTGTTTGTTTTTGTTTTTTGTTTTGAGTCAAAGTCACACTCTACTGCCCAGACTGGAGTGCAGGGGTACACTCACGGCCACCCCAGAGTCATCCTGCTGGGCTCCGGCGATCCTTCCGCCTCAGCCTTCCAAGGAGTGGGAACTACAGGCTTGCGCTATCACACCTGGCTAGTTTTTTGATTTATTGTAGAGATGAGGTCTCACCAAGTTGCTCGGGCTGGTCTTGAACCCGTGGGCTCAGGCAATACTCTCACCTGGGCTCCCAAAGCGATTACAGGCTTGAGCCACTGTGTCTGGCCTAGAGCTGTTTTTCTTAAGCAATGGACTCATGGAATGGGTTCTCAATTGATTTGCCTTGAGACTGGTTCAGATGTTGATTAGTATGGGCTTTCTTTACTATTATTGATGTTTGTCAAAAATGTAGGAAAGAGAACATAGTGAATATAAATAACAGTCTTTAAAAACTGACATGATATAGAATCTTTTGTGAGTAAGATATCAGTGTTTAAAAACTCCACAACAAAACGAATCTCACAGGTCCTGTCCATCTAACTGACTAGTCAAGAGACCAGATAATTTTTTTTTTTTTTAATTGGAGTCTCACTCTGTTGCCCAGGCTGGAGTGCAGTGGCACACTCATGGCCACCGCAGCCTGGTCGAGGGTGGGCTCAGGTGATCCTTCTTCCTCAGCCTTCCAAGTAGCTGGAACTACAGGCATGTGCCACCATGCCCCGATAATTTTTTTTTTTCATTGCAGAGTCGAGGTCTCGCCAAGTTGCCCAGGCTGGTCTCAAACCTATGGGCTCAGGCAGTTCTCTCACCTCCGCTGCCCAAAGTGTTGGGGTTACAGGCATGAGCCTCTGCACCCAGCTAGGAGAATATTTCTTAGGACACAAAAGGTACTAATTGTAAAGAAAAGAATTGATCAGCTGATTACATTAAATTTGGAACTTGCTCATCTGGCACGATTGAAAGAGTGAAAGCCACAACACAGAGTGGGAAAAGGCTTTTGCAACTCACATAACTAACAAAAGATTTATATCCATGTCTACAAATCATTAAGGAAAAGACTCATGACCCAGTACAAAATTGAACCAGAGATTTGAACAAGGTGCTGTCGGTGAAGGAGTCCCAAATGGCCTGAAACACGTAATAACGTGCTCAGTCTCATCTAGCAGGGAAATGCGTAATAAAACCACAGATGACCAGGTACAGTGGCTCACACCTGTAACCCCAGCATTTTGGGAGGTTGGGCAGGAGAATCGCTTGAGGTCAGGAGTTCAAGACCAGCCTGGGCAACATAAGGAGACCTTGACTCTACAAAACAAACAAACAAAAAATCCAAGAAAACATAAGGACTCCCCTTGAAGTAATATGAGAACAGGTTTATGGTAATATCTAAGTGCAAAAGGGGAAGTAAGGATGGGAACACTGTATAAACGTAATAAAGTTATCAGCTCATTTTAATTTTCCCATTTTCACTTGGCAAGGACCATAAAAACTTACTCAATTTGGTAGGTCAATATGATAAAAAGTGAACTACAAATGAGCATACAGTGAAATTCTTGTTTTTGTTGACTTGCAAATGTATTTCCCCTTCATTGATGAAAGGTGTTTTTCTGGTTGGCAGTTTCTTCTTTCCGTATATTAAAGATAACTGTTCTTGTTTCAGCTGCCACTACTTTGAATAAAATCTGCTTTTTTTCTCCAACTGTTTTTAAAGTTTTCTCATCTTTGGGTTTCTACAGTTTTGTCACAATGTGTCCAGGCAAGGATATTAAAGATATATTTTTGTCTGGAATTTTTTGGACTTCTTGAGTCTATGTGATGGTTTTCATAAGTTCTGCAAAGTTTTCAGCCTTTATCTTTTCAAATACTGACTCTATCTTCTATTGTTTTTCTTTCTGGGAATTCAATTAGTATATCACTGGTGCTTTCTACAGCTCTTATTCTACTTTTCCGTATTTCATATCTTTTTGTTTTTCTATGCTGCATTTTGATTATTTTCTTCTGATTTGTTTTCTACTTTGATGTTTGCTCTTCATCTATTCTGTCAGATGTTAAAACTGCCCACTGATTCCTCATTTTAGTTACTATGCTTCTTGGTTACTTGAATTCCTGTGAGGTTCATTTTCAAATCTGTTATTTCACTGTTTATTTTTCCCTGTTGAAATCTAAGCTTGGCTTTTATCTCCTTGAACACCGTAAATAGCTCTTTTACAATTTATTTCTGAAAATTCTAACATTTGGAGTTCCTGTGGGTGTGTCTCTGCTGTCTATTATTTCTGCCAGCTATCATTCTGGTTTCTTGTTTCCTCGTGTGTATAATTATCTTTGCTGGACATTTTAGAGTTAGTTGAGGTCTAAGATGATGTTATTCTCCAAAGATAATGTCTATTTTCCCAATCCCTTAAGAGCACTAGTAGTTCAGAATCACTGAATTATTTTTATTGTTCAAAATACTGCATGCTCTTCCTTTTGGAAGATAGGGTTCCTGTATCATAGGCTTCAGGCTTGGCCATGCACCTTGTCCTGGATAATAAAACGTGAAAGGAAGAATCAGCTGAGTTACCCAGTCCAACATTATAGAAAGTGAAAATCTTTTCAAGTACTTTTTTTAAACAACAAAATATTGTTTGGAGCTGGTTGCAGTGGTTCACGCCTGTAATCCCAACACTTTGGGAGGTCAATGTGGGAGGATTACTTGAGCCCTGAAGTTCAAGACCAGCCAAAGCAGCTTGATGATGCCCTGTCTGTATAACATTAAACAAAAAATTAAACAGAAACCGCCCGAACAAAACAAAACAAAAAACTCCACAAAGTCATCATGGACCAACAGAAAAATCAGTACTTGTAGTTTGTCTTAAAATAGAACCATCTCCTCATACCCAACCATCCACAAATTCAAACAGCTGTGGATCAAAAATATTTTTTAAAAAACATAAAAATAATACAACCATAAAAAATAATACAAATTTAAAAATAATGCAGTATAACGGGTTACTTTGTTTTAGGTATTTTAAGCAATCTCAAAATGGTTTAATGTACACAGAAAAATGTGGACAGACTATATGCAAATGTGACATCACGTATAAGGGGCTTGAGTGTCCTCTGATTTAGGTATTTGTGGGAGGTCCAGGAAGCAATCCTCTTTGGATGCCAGGTGATGACTGTGATCTGGAAATGTGTTGGAATTCAGCAATTCAAGTGTGTTTCAGTGAGCTTCTGAGCACACAGTTACGTGACAGTGTTTTACCAGAGCCATGCTCTCCTGCGTGAGAGACCCGGGGTAGCAGCCATCAAACACGTGATCTATCAAACATGTTAGATATGTGCGTCCCACGCGCACACCAAGACCCAGAACCAGCAACTCTGGTTTCCTTCTTTTCTTCAACTTCCTTCTCAGAAGCAACGGTGTCACAGCTAAATTAGGAATTATCAGGAAGAAGAAGGGACGTGACAGAAGCCACCAGACACTCCGTCTGGGACAGCCCGTCATCCCACGGGAAGCTCTCAATAAAGAGTCACAGCAGCTTCCAACCCACACATGCTGTGCAGGTCACAGGGGGCCCACGGAGGCCAGCGGGAAGCAGCTTGCAGG